TTGAATGGACTTTGACACTTTGTTGAAAATCAGCTGGATATACATATAAATACATCAACTGGATGTATTTACTTGTGAGTTCTAAATTCTGTTCCATTGGTCTCTGTTGATGTACCAGTACGAGGCTGTTTTGATTACTGTAGCTGTATGGTAAGTTCTGAATTAGAAAGTGTGAGGCCTTCTACTTTGCTCTTCCTCGGTAATGCTTTAGCTATTTGGGATCTTTTTCCTTTCTGTATAAAGTTGGAAATTAATTTTTCCATTTCATTAAAAAATGTTGGTATTTGGATTAGGATTGCATTAGGTCTATAGATTGCGTTAATTCGTATTGACATTTGCACAGTGTTAAGTCTTCTAATCCATGAGCATGGTATGTTTTTCCATGTATGTAGGTCTCAGTTTCTTGCAGTAATCTTTTTCATTTTACTTGTATAAGTCTTACAGCCCTGGTTAGACTTATTCCAAGGTGTTTTATCCTTTTGGGGGCTATTGTGAATGGTACTGTTTTTCTTGCTTTCTTTTTCAGAATTCTTCTTGTTAGTGTAGAGAAATCCAACTGATTTTTATATGTTGATCTTGACCTCACCACTTTGCTGAATCCTTCTGTTAGTTTCAGTAACTTTCTTGGAGAATTGCTGGAACTTTTCACATGTAGCACATGTCGTCTGTGAATAGGGATAGTTTTCCTTCTTCCTTACCAATTTAAGTATGCTGTATTTCCCTTTCTTGCCTATTCTGGCTAGACTTGAGTACAATATTGAATAAGAGTGGTAATAACGGGCATCCTTGTAGGTTCCCATTCTCAAGGGGAATGCTTTCAGTCTCACTCCCTTGAGAATAATGTTGACTCCTGGTTTTGTATTATGTTTAATACATAATATGTATTAATTATGTTGAAGAATTTCTCTTCTAGTCCTTTTTTGCTGGAAGTTTGTTTTTTTAAATCAGCAAAACATGTTAGATTTTATCAGATGCTTTTTCTACATTGATTGAAATGATCATGTGATTCTTTTCCTTTATTTATGTGGTGATTTACATTGATTAGGAGCTCTGGGGGTGTAGTGCCTAAGGCATTTAACTACTAACCAGAAGGCTGGTGGTTCAAACCCACCAGCCACTCCTCAGAAGGAAGACTGGGCAATCTACTTTCATAGAGATACCACCTCGGAAACCCAAGGAAGGGTCACTGTGAGTCAAATTGACTCGATAGCAGTGAGTTTGGTGTTTTGAGTTTTACATTGATTGATTTTCTAATGTTGAACCACCTTTGTACCCCTAGTATGAATCTTACCCGATCATGATGTATTATTTTTTTGATAAGCTATTTGTGGTACATTACTTACTGTGGTTCTTCTGGCCATGGTCTTTGTGACTCTCACCAGATAACTTTGGTGGAAATACATAAATGCAAGGTGCTTTGTGGCCAACCAAGGGTATTGGATAGCTTGTTAGTAATGTAAATAAAGTACATGGCACCTTTGTAGGGGAGGGACCATGGAAATTAGGTGTCTGGAACCCTTTTGTGGGGATTGGTCAGTTTTGTCATTGTGCTTGCCTTAAAATGAGCCTGCCCAAAGGCAGAGGGGAGGATCTCACTGCCATCAAGAGAGAGAAGCTGGGAGTGGAGTGCGTCTTTGTACTGAAGATCCTTGCACAAAGACCTACAGCAGAGAGAAGTGATGGCAGCAGAGGCAGCCGAACCAAGAGAACGGCATGAGACAGGGCAGAGGGCTTGGAGCCCTTGGAGCGAGAAGGCTGAGTGCCTTTGGGCAGGAGAATTGCTGGTGAAGTGGGGTGCGCCTATCAGAGCTAAAAGAGCTTTGTAATGCTTGCCTGAGCAGGGCAGAGGCTAGGCCAAGAAGCCAAGGGCCAAAGAGAGGTGTGCCTATAGGCATGGCAGAGGAGAGGATCACCTGATCAATGAATTGTAACCTGAGCATCCCTGAACTTGAAAGGTAACCTATTGCTTCCCTAATAAACCCCATAATCATGATTATTGCCTGTGAGTTCTGTGTGGCTGTTGCAATGAATTATCAGACCCAGCAGAAAAGTAGAGAGTGACCTGGGAGGGACAGTTCGTGTCAGAATTGGTGAAAAGGTTGGAGGGTGGCATCATGTCTGGCCTTACAGGAATCAGCTTTGGACTATTGCTGTTCAGCCTTTTCTTTCCCCCTTATGAAGTTAGAGGAGGTCAGAGGATGCCACCTCCATGCCCTTTGTACACTATTCTGTTGGTTATAATTTCGTTGAGAATTTTTATGTCTGTATTCATGAGGAATATTGGTCTGTAATTTTCTTTTTTTGTAGTATCTTTGCCTGGCTTTGGTATCAGGGCTATGCTGACTTTCTAGGTGAATTAAGGAGTATTCCTTACTTTTCTGCATTCTGGAATTGTTTAAGTAGAATTGGTGTCAACTTTTCTCTGAATGTTGTTAGAACTCTCTAGTGAAGCCATTTGGGCTGGGACTTTTTTTTTGTTTGGCGTTTTGTATGACCTCTTCAATTTTTTCTTTTGTTATAGGTCTATTTAGGTTTTCTACCTTTGTTTGTGTTAGTTTAGGAAGATAGTGTATTTCTAGAAATTTGTCCATTTCTTCTAGGTTTTCATATTTGTTAGATTACAGTTTTTCACACTATTCTATTATCCTCTTTATATTGGTTGATTCTTTTGTAATATTGCCCATTTCATTTGTTATTTTGGTTATGCATATCTTCTCATTGTTCTCTGTCAATTTGGCCAGTAGGTTGATCTTGTCAAAGAACCAACTTCTGGTTTTGTTGATTGTTTGTATTGTTTTTAAAATTTTATTTATTTCTGCTTTGATTTTTATTGTTTCTTTTCTTAGGTGACTATAGACTTCTTTTGTTTCTCCTTTTCTATTTGTTCAGTTATCAGGTTAATTTGTTGATTTTGGACCATTTTTTCTTTTTTGATAGGTGCATTTATTGCTATTAAATTTTCCTCTGAGCATTGTTATTTTGTGTCCCAGAGAATTTGGTATGCTGTGTCTTAATTCTCATTTGATTCTGAGAATTCCTTTATTTCATTATTTTTTTTCCTGTAGCACATTGGTTTTTAAGTAAGGTGTTATTCAGAGTCCATGCATTTATTTTTATCCTTTGCTCTATCTGTTTCCAGTTTTAGAGCATTATGGTCAGAGAATATTCTTTGTATAATGTCGAGTTTTTAGAATTCATTGAGCCTTGCTTTGTGGCCTAGAATATGGTATAACCTGGAGAATGATCTACATGCATTGGAGAAGAATGTGTGCTGCTGTTGAGTGTGTGTTCTGCATGTGTCTGAGAAGTCAAGTTGGTTGATTGTGTTACTTAGATCTTCTTTGTTGAGTCTATATCTTTGTATTTTTGTTGAGTTTCCAACTGACTGGAAGAGATTCATATTTGTGCCCGTTCCAAAGAAAGGTGATCCAAGAAATGGGGAAATTATTGAACAGTATCATTAATATAAAAGGAGCTCTGGTGGCACAGTGCCTAAGGTATTTGATTGCTGACCAGAAGGTGGGTGGTTCAAACCCACTAGCCACTCCAGGAAAGAAAGATGAAGCAATCCACTTCTGTAAAGATTTACTGCCTTGGAAACCCAATGGGGTTTACTATAAGTAGGAATTGACTCGATAACAGTGGTTTTTGTTTTGTTTTGTTTTCATTATTAATGTAACATGGAAGTAAAATTTTGCTGAAGATAATTAAAAGCAGGTTGCTGCAGTACATTAACAGGAATGTCCAGAAATCCCAGCCAGATTCAGAAGAGGGTGGGAAAGAGGGCTATCACTGCTGATGTGAGAAGGATCTTGGCGAAAGCTCAGAATACCAAAAAGATATTTACTTGTATTGTATTGACTGTGCAAAGGCATTTAACTGTGTATATCTTAACAAATTATACATCACATTGTGAAGAGTGGAAATTCCAGAACATTAAATATGCTCATGTGGAACCTATACGTAGACCAAGAGGCAGTCGTTTGAACAGAACAAGGGGTTACTACGTGGCTAAAATCAGGAACGGTGTGCATCAGAGTGTATCCTTTCACCATAATAACTCACTCTATACACTGAGCAAATAACCTGAAAAACTAGACCTTATGAAGCACACCATATCAGGTTTGGAGAAAGACACAATAACTACTTGTGATATGCAGATGACACAGCTTTGCTTGCTGAAAGTGAAGAAACTTAAAACATACACTGATGAAGATCAAAGGCTACAGCCTTCAGTATGCATTAAACTTCAACATAAAGAAACCAAAAATTCTTACAACTGGACCAATAAGCAACGTGGTAAATGTAGAAAATAATAAAGTTGTCCAGGATTTCATTTTACTTATATCCACAATCAACCCATTAAAGCAGCAGCCAAGAAATCAAATGATGTACTACTACCTTTGTCAAATCTGCTATAAAAGACCTCTTTAAAGGATTTAAAAATAAAACCTTGAAGACTAAGGTGTACCTGAACCAAGCCATGGTATTTTCAATAAGTTTATATAAAAGCTAGAAAATGAATAAGGGAGACTGAAGAAAAATTAATATCTTTGAAATATGGTATTAACAAAGAATATCGAATATACCATGGACCTCCAGAAGAATGAACAAATCTGTCTGAGAAGAAGTACAGCCTGAATGCTCCTTAGAAGCGATAATGGCGAGCCTTCATCTCACATACTTTGAACATGTTTTCAGAAGGAACTAGTCCCTGGAGAAGGAGATCATGCTTGCTAAAGTAGAGGGGTCAGTGAAAAAGTGGGTCAATCCCTCGACAAGATGGATTGATACAGTGACTGCAACAGTAAGGTGGGCTAAAACATAGCAATGATCATGAGAATGACAGTGGATCAGGCAGTGTTTTGTTCTGTTTGTAGGGTTGCTGTAAGTTGGAACTGATGACTTGACAGCACCTAACAATAACAACAGTAGTTGTAAAAGTTCAGAAAAAAATAATTCTCTTTTTAATCTTTCCCCTTTTTTGCATTCTGTTTAAGGATATCAATTTAGACTCGGTTATAATTGATCATCAAGATGATTCCTTTAGAGCAGAGACAGTTATCAAGGATCGTTCATATTTGATACATCTTGGTGAGTATTTTTATTAATGGACTCTATTAATGGACTCTATTTTCCTTTGGGAGCTCTGGTAGCATAGTGGGTAAAGCACTTGACTGCTAACCAGAAGGCTGGCGGTTCAAACCC